TCGGTCAACACTCTAGGACTTACAGCAGTCTCTCCATGTAACTTCATTCGTCTTCCAATGTATGAGTTCACCAAGAAAGGAAAGTCAGTGAACGTTGCATGCTCCGCATCCCTGCAAAGAATGAGAATCAGGCTTACAAAACCGAACCAGGGCTGATGAGCAACAGCGAGACATGGCGGCAAGCTCCTCCACAAAATACGTTCGTATGGTTTCTATAATGGAACGGAGACTTTTCTGGAACGTATTCAGTAAAAATTAAACATTAAACCGATACTGGGGAGACCGGAAGAGTCCTAGCCGTTCGTATCAAGGAACATCGGGCTAGCATGAGACGCAGTACTTCTTCAACAGCTCTTGGGAGGCACAAGCTGGAGGAACATAATGGCGCTGATTTTGAAATAAGGTGCACAGTGTTGGCGCATGAGACGGAAATTTGTGCGAGAAAGCTCTAGAAGCGTTCTGGATTTCCAAAAGGATTCCATCTATGAACAACCAGGATGAGCGTCCTTCAATAACCAAAGCACCCTCGCCGTTCATACCGCACTGCGAGCTGTAGAACATCAGTGTTACATGCGTCTCCCACAATTTGCTAATATCAGGAGACAGTACGGTATGCATTACTCGTCATCTACTAACGCTCTGAAGTTTTGGCGGATTTTCTGCTTTGAAGGTGGAACACTGGGTAAGTTTGTCTTCTGGATTGCTTGGGTTTCTCTTCGAGCTTCCCGACAGAATGTCGGAACCGCCAGAGAAGATAAAGCGCTCAGTGTCATAGAGCATAGATCTGAATTTCGAATCACTTTTAGGCCTCCGAAGATGACGAATCAGTCGGAACGTTGGGCCGATTTAATCAAAGTTCCATTCAGCAACCTCTGAGGCACAACCATACTAACACAAGTTACAGCTAAACAGATAGCTCTGTGGATGTACAGCTAAACTGCAGAATCTTTGAGAAATACGTGAACAACACCACTCAAAACGATACTCAGATGCCAAAACGGTAAACAAGAGTGAAAACAGAAGGAGGGAAATGGCAATTTCAGCGCTCCCAAATTTCTCAGTTTCGTTTTGCTGTTTGCATTCCGCTTTCAGACATTTCATTGCACTACCTGAAGGTGTAGATTGGCTTCTCGGCGATGTTTCGTAATTTACGCATTTGCTCGATGTTTTCCATGAACTGCCATCGGCCAGCGTTCAATAATAGTGTTGGCTGTGTTGCTCTTTCATAATGACCTGGTTCCAGCGGATACAACCACCCGTCCAATACAGCGGCGGCCTGTGAATATAAATCCTCATGAAAAATATGTATTTTAACCAAAGACGAAACGCACTTGAAAATCGGTGGAAAATGCCGTCGCAGCAATGGCTGTCGCACCACCGAATGAATGTCCGGCAACAAACGCCCGAGTAAGGTCCAGTGCCCCCTAATAACGGATTCTATTATTATCCTCTCCATGTGGAACATGAGAAATGCGGACACATACCTTGAACATGGACCAGTCGAATTCTTTTCCAACTGCAATATTTTCAGCTTGCAGTTGTCCAAGGGTAATTTCTTCGAGGACATGTAATGCCTTCACACACTCGGAAACACGTTTGTTCAACTGAAAAGAAGTACTTCGAAAAAATTATAGCGCGAAAAGGCAAAATATGCAACGCCGAGGACTTTACAAGTTGAATGTGCTAAAAATCTCTCACTTGCTGATTCCTTATTTTGAACACGCGTTTGTCATCACTGTCCACAATACGTATGGGGAAATGGCGTTCCTTTAGCCTACCAGATAGAGAATCGGGAGTAAGCTTGTAAGTCCAACAAGCAGAATAATCACTGAAATTTCTTGGAAATGTAACATGCTTAAATCATCAAACCTCTATCTTTCATCTCTACTCCTTATTTTTCATGGAAATTTTGCGGTTAGGTTAATATTGTGCCGCATTTATTAAATATAAGTCTGGGCCAAGGTTAATAGTACCACGCGACGGCGCAACTAGGTCAGCTCGCCCTTGCACTTCCAAGCTGCGTTTATACTCCGAGACTCCAGAGAATCGGTGTTGACGGAGAACCATCGTTTTCAAAGTGAAGGAAGGTGTGGGCATCAACCTAGCGTTTTACAAGAGTATCAGAATCGTTGTTGTAGAATGAGAGAATAGGAGAGTAGTCTCTTTTCGCTCAAAACGACTCTCCCAAAACGTCAATCCGCTTAAAGGCATATGGCACGATAATTTGGCACTCGGTCCAAAATGCTAGATAGTGTGCTATACAGCGGCAAAATGGCGAAAAAACGAAGTGAAACGGTCAAAAACCTGCGAAGAAAAGCCTTCGTTCTCAATGATTTAAAAAGCTTTTCCGGACATGTTTACCGAAGACACCTTGCCATTAAACGCCACGGTAGGCTGCACTGTTGTACTCATATATCCATGCAGCACCGCGGCCGCTTCATATCAATCCCTTCGCTTCATATTTTACTTGGCAAATGAAGCAGGAGCATCAGGTACGGTCGTCCATTTGTGGGCGGGCGGGCGCGGTGGGCGTCCGGGTCGGTATGTTGCAGCTTGATAGGGCCTTATGAGGTATCTTCCTTGAAAAAGGCGCTGCACGGCTGCTCAGGAGCGCGGAATTCTCTTCTGCCAGGTGTATCAATCCCACTAGTCTTAAGGATTTACCGTGCCAACTGCCTTTGAAACGCTGATACTCTTTATACTGAGAACTATACTTTTCGTTTCGAGCAATCTCCTGAAGCCGATTCTCCCGAGTTTCGAGAACGAACGCAGCCTTACCGAGATAGTAATCCCTTCCTCGGCACTGTAGAAAGCCAGACTCGACGACAGTTGTATACTTGACAAGAGCAGGCGCGACCTGTTGTTGCCAAGCCACCCTCCCCCACTTAGCCTTTCAAAACCCTAATAAAGCTTGTTTGTGAAAATCCATCTCAGATTTCTTATCAGCTGTATCGGGTTCAGGATGGCATCAATGGTGGAAAAAGGACGCTCTGACTGCGCTGTATTTCACGTCGCGTCAAACGCGTTTGCAGGGATCATTACTGCAGAAATGGAACGCCACGATGAGGCTGCGGATAGGATTTGTGGGGGCAGAAATGGAAAACTATAAAAAAGAAATGGAAAACTATAACACCCGAAGCAGAATGACCGAAATCTAGAAAAAAAAAACAACAAAGCAATCAAGAAAACATGCTTAAAAGAAGAATAAATACTAGTCGCTCGTTGTTTTGATGTTATTATACAGGGGGGGGGGCAAAAAAAAAAGACTTTTTTCTTCCTCGACTTTCGAGGCGCTATAAGTTACACTTTATTAAATTCTTATCGGACATTTCTACCACCATATTAAAGAGCATATTAAATACTATCATGATACTCCGCCACAGCCTTTTGGAGGAGCGCCATTGACGAGCAGTTCTTGCCACGCGACCCGAGAAGTGTGGCTGCCTGAGACTTCAAGCCGAGACCGATTGATTTTTCCACCACTTTAAGACCACCCATATTAAATCCGCGACCGAACCAGGTAAATTGAGGGGGTTTAGGTCAGGTGACCTGCTTAAATATTCCACCTTCTTCAGGTACTCAACGCCCTTCCATTCCAAGTAGGCAAGAGTTTTCCAACGCCCTCTGATTCCATGTGGTGTCACCCAATCCTGTAGCAGTACAAAGTTTCCAAGAAGGTACGGGCGACGACATGTGGAGAGGATATTCTTCTCGAGTTGCTCGATGTAACCGCCAGCGCTCACCTTCAGTCCGGGGCCCACGAAGAAAATATCGGTCTCTCCATTCCAGGTACGTCCGGTCCCCATCAACTGGCGCCTTGGCGACTGAGGTGAAGATGATGTCCTAGACCGTAGCGACGTTGACGGAGCTGCTCGATGGAGGTCTTCCAGATCGAGAGTACTGGTCTCCAGGTAGCTATCCATGGGTGACTCCATACTAGAAGTTTGGAGGTGACATGAATTCCAAAGGTCTTCTCCAGTCAGGCTGCGACTGGAGATGACTTCATATTTTGGTGTACATGAAGGTGATGGGTGAGAGCCAGCTCCTGCTTATCGAGGAACATCTTGGGTATCTTCCGCCCTGGTACTCGTATCCACGTCCTCTGTCTGGGCTGCGAAAACTTTGCTGATATGTGACTCGGTCGAAATGTCTTTTTTTGCCCCCCCCCGTACATTTCGGTATCGCAAGCGCAAATAAGTATGATAATTCCAGAGAGACCGATACAGACTCAAATGATCCCTCCCAGGTGTAAGACCTAGATGGTTCCTGTTCTTGACTTCCTCAACGAAGTACAAACATTTGCAACCACTTAATACCAGAGAGTAATCGAAGCGAAAGGAAAAAGAGAAGCCCAACCTGTGTTCGATGGCTGCAACGACAAAACCATTCGAAGCTAATGAGGCACAATAGGTTGAATAGAAGTGACGACATCCTGATAAACCATGAGAGAATATAACAACTGGGAAAGTTCCTTTCCGAGATTGACTGGAATTGCTTGATGGCGAACTGCAGGGAACAGCAAGCTTTCGCTGCCAAAGTGGAGCTATTCTGAAAAAAAGCAGTACTGCTCAAAACACTAATAGGAACTGTGCTGAAAAGTAATTGCTTAACATCTCTATGATCAGTTTCAAACACAGTCCGAGAAATTCTCAACTAATGCTAAGATCAGATGTGCATCGGTCTTGTAGTTAAGAAGATTACGACTGCTAGGATTGCGTCATGAAAGCAATTCAGCGATTCGCGATAGAGCTAGCGTACGGAGCGAACAAAAATGATGACGGACATTAATAGCAGAAACAGCTTAAATGGTGCGACCTAGGCGAACAACGGTTTACCCTTTACTGCCCCTGCACAGTTTCTGACCAACGTTTTCCTGTGAGGGCAGACTTGGCTAAGGCAGCGTTCATAGTTCGCGACAGCAGCGGCGATCGCCGCGATCGTCGGTGCATGGCAGCGCGCGCCCCAACGCTATTGTGGATGCTCGCCTGATGAATAAGGGAATTCAACTTGTAAGACCTTCTTTACTCTTAATAAGGGCTACTAACAGATAAGCGACTTTCTACACATAAGCAGATCTGGAATATGAGGTAAGAAGGTTTCACTTCCTTTTAGGTCGGGGTAAGACCAACTCCATTTCCTGGGTGAGCTTCTTTTTTTGTTTTTATTGTTTCAATTTATGCATGCGCCTCAGGAATTATCGTCTAAGTTGTTCAACTTCCAAAACATTCATAGTTTACAAGT